ACAATTCCCTGGAGACAAAACTTTGAGACAAGAGGAACGGAGCAAAGGAGAGAGACATGAATAAGAGGTGTGCCCTAGTAATCAGTGCTTCCTCTCAGTGTACTGCCAACAAGGGGCTGATTTATATCAGGGGACATGAATGTGAGTGTCTCAGCCTGCAGAGGCCCTGACAGAGGCTCAGATATCAGAGACACAATGACAGAGGGCAAGGTGGCCGATGGCAACGACAGGTTTCCCGGTCTATTACCCAACACAGAGGCACAGTCACCGGCCTTACACTAAAGCACATACTCTCACACCCCAACCTGGCCTCTGCTGCTGCCTTCCTATTCAGGTTCATAAAGATTAAAGCTAAATCACAAGTCATTTCTTCTTCTACAATAAAAGTGGAATGTATGAGAACTAGAGGGTCATCCACACCACCAGGGCCAGCCACGGGCTTGTACGTGCCTACACCGATTTCCTGGGCAGTTGGCGCTCCAAGGGCCAGGATGCCGCCACACAACAGACACCAGCCCCACAGGCTGTTTTCCCTGCCAGCAGAAGTGAGGGCTCCCATGCAGCCTGGAGGGCCTGCCCCAGCCCTTGCATGCCCCCCGACATAAGGACCAGGTGGGGGGAACCAGTGGATGCAGGGCCGCACCAGACGGAGGCCCAGGATGCTTGCAGTTCAGGAGAGAACTTTGTCCCTGGCGAGCTGGTATGGGTCTACAGCCCTGGACAAAAGTAGAGCTTGTTCCCACAGTCAGCAAAGCCAGTGGAGTGGACCCTGTACTGTACTGAAAAGGCAGATGCAGCGCACAGGGTGAGACCGAGTAAACGGAACCGAGTGGTGCTTCATGGGGAGAGAATCGCGCCACGCTTGGCCCTTTGCCACCCCTGAGGGGGGAGCGTTGGACAAGGGGAGCCAGCCACAAGCTCCAGACCCCTCTCCACCAGCTGCACAGGAGCTACCAGAGAGGTCTCAGTGCCAGTGCAGGTCGCCCCAACACTTAAGGGACTTTGTCATGACTGTGGTTACTGAGAACAGTTAACCAGCCAGGTGGGGCCTGTGTAATGTTGGGGCCGGAGAGACACTTGGCAGGGTCCCCCAGAATGCCCAGGGTGAGAAGTACCTGCTGGGATCCCCCATAATGCCCCTCTGGCTGGGCTGTATTTAGTTGTGGGTTGGCAGGATTGCTAGTGTGTGTTCGGTGTGTTCTGTGTTGCTGTGTGTTCCCCGGCTGTGTGAATAATAAAATAGCGGCTCCCTTGAGCACAGAAAAGGCAGTTTTGGTGTCTGGGTCCTTCTTCAACCCAGCTAATGTTACAATATGTTGATGTCCCGGTGACGAGGTGTTGAAGTGAAAGGCTTAATTCAGAGCCTTTTTGCAGAGCATGCCAACACACCTCTTGTTTACGCAACAGAGGTGATTTATCAAATATAAGATTTGTCTGCACAAGTGACTAAATGAGAGAATGGAGGAGTGAAACAGCTTGCCATCCTTCATGATGATAATCTCCTCCATGCTAATGCATATCTCAATATCCCAGGCAACACAAGTCAGACTGTAGTTTCTGACAAGTATGGATTGCATAACAGCAGTTGACTAATCCTCACCCTACAGGCACATGGGCACATCTCCCCTCTGCAGCCTGGAGGGCCTGACCCAGCACTTGCATGCTCCCCGACATAAGGACCAGGTGGGGGGAACCAGTGGATGCAGGGCCGCACCAGACGGAGGCCCAGGATGCTTGCAGTTCAGGAGAGAACTTTGTCCCTGGCGAGCTGGTATGGGTCTACAGCCCTGGACAAAAGTAGAGCTTGTTCCCACAGTCAGCAAAGCCAGTGGAGTGGACCCTGTACTGTACTGAAAAGGCAGATGCAGCGCACAGGGTGAGACCGAGTAAACGGAACCGAGTGGTGCTTCATGGGGAGAGAATCGCACCACGCTTGGCCCTTTGCCACACCTGAGTGGGGAGCGTTGGACAATGGGAGCCAGCCACAAGCTCCAGACCCTTCTCCACCAGCCGCTGCTAATGATGGGTGCAAAATGCATTTTGTATTTGTGTTGCATTCATGTAAACATGAAATGAAAGTAAAGAGCCAAGCATTATATTAAATGCAATAAGCAAAACCAGGTTATATAGGTGTCTTCAGGAACACTGATGACACACATGCAAGTTAATAGGGATAGTGCACAGTACATACCCTAAGAGTAAATGTGTTGAGGATTGTTTAGACATACTAAAATTTACTTTTAACCATCAGCAGTAGCGGTTTGTATTGGGCCTTTACATAAGCATGGCATGTTTTATGAACACATAAATGATTTTAAATCAGAAGTGTTTTAGGGCTTTTGTTAACTGTAAGGACCTATTATTTTTTACTTTATAAAAAGCTCCATCCTTGCAAAAATGTATTTTAATCTTTGCTGAATTATGCACTCCACAGGAACATTGCAAAGGCACCGTTTAGATGCATTTTTGTTTTGATAGTGTTGAAAATTGATTCATGTTTTTTTTTTTTTACAATTAATCAATTAATTTGAGAAATAATGGACAGATTAATGGATTGTGAAGCCCTACAACATAAAGATATATCAACAAAATCAAAATTGGGTCTATTTGTAGAGGAAAAGCAGATACCAACCAATCTCTCTCACTCCCACAAGCAACTCATGGATCCTCTTAACCTTAAAGTAAACCTCAGCGGTAGGCTGAGAAGCCAGGTCCTTTAGCTGATTAAATCTAGACTAAGCCAACGAGAGCCATGGGAATCTATTCCTCCAAACACACACATGTCTAAATGCCCCAAACAGCTGGTGAAAAGAAATAAATATAAATTTTATAGACAATTCACTGACCTCACCTGACAAGGCAATTAGGAGAGCCTGCTTTTCAAGGTGAGGTGTTTATTGGTGCCTACTGTAGTGTAGGCTCAGGGGATCAAGTCCTGAAGAAGTAACACTGTGACAATGACACTAAAATTTAAATATTGTATATTTCATATTAGCTGGTGAATCTGCTCTCTCTTAAACTCTACAGCTGGTTAATCTGGTAGGAGCATGTGAACCAGTGTCAGAAATCTGGCTCCCAAAAGTGACCCACTACAGCAGATACACACGCGCACACACACTGCAAGCCATCAAGTAGTCCACATTTCTTAAATACTAGTCCTATATTTCACTCTCTAATATTTTGCCTTGATTGAATCTAAGGGCAGAGGCACACCAAACCAACATCAAAGAACTAGCGGCGAAAAGTGGCACTTGAAAACACCACACAAACTGCAGCCATGGGCCAACTAGCACATACAATCTGTGGCTGCCTGTCATACCAGCACGTGACAGTAGTCTGTATTCGTCATCCAGAAAGGCAAAGCCATTAGGACTACAAACTGTAAGCAAAGCAGTTCACCACAGACGGTATCAAGAACATGTCTGATGTTACAAATGGCACTGGCGTTGTCAGCGCTTTGTCTTTTGGCTGTGGAAGAAGAAAGGAAGTCACAAACATGAAAAATCAGGAAAGACTGCACTAAACAGGTCAAATCATGGATACTTCAGTGACAAGCTCTAGGGGCTTTCCCAAACCTTTCTCTTCTTCTGAACTGCTTCACTAAGCTGAACAGCCAGTCAGAAAGGTCTCGCTGATGCCTCAGAGTGGCTGACGGCCAACCGTTGGCTTGGTGTGTCGCATGCTTAAAATGTGCCACGTCCTATTTCAGATCCCCAACAGACAAATATACTCCACTTTAAATAGTAATTTGTGATTTAGTTCATTGAAAAGTCAACTCTCAGCATGTAACTGTTCTACACTAGATCACAGTTGGCTTCCAGATGAATTGGTGTAACATCATGCTCATGCATCTTAAACTCTGATGTAAACACACAGGAACTTTCTTCCCTCAGCCAATAAATCTAGTGCATGAACATCCATCATTCTGCACAAACAACCAAGTAATAAAAAGAAAAATACATTGTTGAATGGAGCAAGGCTTTAACTGCACTTGTTATTTTGCACAAAGCACAGCGACTCATCCAGTGGCGTTCAGTATACATAAATATTCAATAAGAACAATACACAGCTGTACAAACTTTCCTGGGCTGTGTTAGTCTCTTGCTGCCTTAATAGCCAAACCTGCATGTGTAACAGCTACATCCAACTGTACTGCTATTGTTTCTTTTTCAACAATATACCATTATTAATGTAAAGTTCATTGCTTTATATTTATTTTGGCAAAAGTCTGGGGACTAACGTATGGTGTTGACTCACCTTCACTTTCTATTAACTTAACTAAAAAGTGGCCCACCACATACATGGTGGAAAGTAAGTACATTTACTCAAGCACTCATTGGAGGCAATTTGAATATTTTCATTTTCTGCTACTTCATTTTTTGACTTCACTACATTTTAGAGGAAAATATTGTACTTACTTCACTACATTTATTTGATAACTGGTTATTAGTTACATTTCCAAATCAGATGAATAAAACAAAATTCCAAAATTCAACATAATCGCAAGACTTTACTGATCCTCGCCCAGTATGTAAAGTACTTCAAATTTAAAGCATATAGCAGCAGTAGTTCACATTAGCTCCACCTTTGGCGGCTGTCACATTATAGTGATGAATACAATAATGCACCAGTAATGAATCCAGTAATATTATACACTGTGCCATTCTGTACTTTTATATTTAGTACTATTACTTTTGTACTTTTACCTAAGAAACTTTTTGAATGCAGGACGTTTACTTGTAATATACAGTACAGCAGTTAACACTGTGGTGGGCTACTGTTATCCTACTTTTACTTCAATACACAATCTGATTACTTCTTGCACCACTACATAAACATGAGAGCACCCTACCAGCCAACAACATAAATCAGAGTAGCCCCAAACCGCCACAAGGGGCGCTGAAGTCCCGCATACTAACGTGAGATTCGGTGGAGGCTCCGCGGCACTGGGATTCACAGAGGTGTGCTCAAGGTAGACGTTAATAAGACGGAGCCCTCACCTGCTCTGTAGTTTTCTGGGACTCCCCTCTCTCTCTCTCTCTCTCTCTCTCTCTCTCTCTCTCTCTCTCTCTCTCTCTCTCTCTCTCTCTCTCTCTCTCTCTCTCTCTCACACACACACACACACCCACACACTCCAGCTGCGCCGCCTGTGTGAGCTCGGGCATCCGTCTACAGAGGTAATGTGTAAGGGGTGGAGCCCCGGGTGCCAACGACCGCTCCTGCCCCGGTGTTGTGTCGGGGGCAGAAGGAGGTAGGTCCCATCTCGGTGCTGGACCCACCCACATGAGGCCAAGCCCACTGCTGCAGGTTACTGGAAGCTCTGAATTTACTGTGGCCTGTTTTAAATGGAGTGAACTTAAACTTGACTGCAAACATAGAGACAGTGGTGGAAGGAGCAGTCAAATACTAAACTTAAGTAAAAGTAACAACAAAGTAGAGTAAAAATGCTCTGTTACAAGTAAAAGCCCAGCAGTCAAAATGTTACTTAAGTAAAAGAATTAAAGTATTAACATCAAAACATACTTGAAGTACTAAAAGTAAAAGTACTCATTGTGCAGAATGGGACTTATAATATTAATGTATATGATTTTATTATACTGTCATTGCTGATCCATTATTGGTGGTGAAGTGGTGGTGCAGTGGTTAGACCTGCTGTCTCATACAAAGAAGGTTCCATGTTTGAGCCCTGGCTGACCTGGGGCCTTTCTGTGCGGAGTTTGCATGTTATACCTGTGTCTGCGTGGGTTTTCTCCAGGTACTCCTGCTTATTCCCACAGTATAAAAACATGCAGCTTAGGTTGATTGGTGACACTAAATTGCCCATAGGAGTGTGTGTGGTTGTCTGTCTCTAAGTGTCAGCCTTGTGAAATGACTGGTGACCTGTCCAGGGTGTACCCCGCCTCTCGCCCAGTGTCAGCTGGGCTTGGCTCCAGCCCTCCGTGACCCCGTTCGGGATTAAGCGGTATAGAAAATGAGATGAGATGAGATGAGAGGTATCACATTCAGTAATGTGCTGCTGTACTGTTTTCAATATAATGCAGGGCACAGATGATTTACAAATCACTATTTTCAGTTTAATTTTAATTTTACATATCGTGATTTAACATTTTTTTCTGATTTGGGGTTGTACTTGAGTAAAGGTACTTAGTATCTTTCCACCATCATATATAGTGCAGAGTGGCTACAGAAACTTTGGAGTGGAGCCTGAGTTTGTTCTGTGGCCCGAGGTCTAATTTAAGTTTTCCATTTTAGTTGCAATATATTTAATTAAAAACTTAAAGCTGTACTTTTATGTTATTGTGAAGTTTCCTTTTTTGGAACTGTAATCTTCTTTGACCCTGTGATTATCTTTTATCTTTGCATGTGAGCAAGGAATGGTTGCTTTGCATGTGAGAGTGACAGTAGAATATATAGCACACTATAAAATGCAGAAATGTCCCTCTCATAGCACGCAAGTCTGAATGATGGAGGAACATAGCGGCATAGCTCATCACCGACATTAGACTTATCAAGAGACGATGACAATCTCCATCACCAAGCTCATTATGTGGTGCCTGCCAAGTCAACTGATGCTTATCACGTCTCCAACCAGCAGCTGCCTCACAGGACAGTCTCCTTTTGCAAAGTGTTGATGAATGTGTGTGTTGAGGTCTGAAGCTGCTGATGAAATGGATTTACAGATAACATTTTATATGAAGATGAAAATTGGAATGTAAGAGAGACGCCATACCTATTAGTTTTAATATAATATATTGAACTATAGTGAACTGAGTGTGAGAGAGGCAGCAGGGCAGAGGAGTCGCTGTGCAGGCCACTGGCAGGAGTCAGTGCAGGCTGTGCAAGGTCAAGCCCAGGAATAGCTGGAATCCATAATTATCAGCAATTTTGTGCAGCAGTATTCTCCTGTAATACAAACATCCAAGTACACTGCAAGTGCAAATTAATGCCCATACAGCTGGCTGCAGGTTGTTGGTCCATTTTACAGTACTGCACAAGCACCAAGGACAGCGATCAGCAAAACACACAGAGATAAGCAGTGGCTCATCAAAAGAAAGAAAAATAGAAGAAAACTGAAAAAGTGAAAAAAGTGGAAAACAGACAACAAGAAGTGAGCATGCTGGTTAAAAGGTAAGGCTGTAATTTGTCCAGCGCTACATTCACCGCACATACTTTAGTATAATTAGTTACATGTGAGAGTGCATACAGGTGTGCATGGACATGGTCTAGTTTACCTGAAGTTTCAATCCATTTTACTGCAGTAGATCTACATTGCACAACATTAGTAGAGTGAAGCACCAAGACACACAGCAATGTTCAAATGCTTTTTTTCATTTGCTTCACTTACTGGTCGGTAAAATCTGAGGATCAAAGACTGCTCATGTGTCAGTAGGCTTCAGCTCGCTGATGCATCTGTCAAACAAAACTGAACAGGGATTTCCTTTCAGTCACAGACTCAGCCACACGTGATAGGTGTAAATCACGTGAGGGATGGCTCAGTTACATGGTTCCTTGTTGCTATTTGGAGGAAATACTCCAAATCCTTCTCATCTAACTCCCAACTATAAATTTGCAAAAATAATGATAACAATTTTCTTTTTCTTTCTCAGGGTGTTTATATTTTATGCTTGTCTTTGGTTTGCCTAGTTCTTTGTCTTGCATAGTGTCTGTTCTTGCAGTAGTACAATATACTGTAAAAGGAGAATGTGCACACAGTAATACACATCTCTAATTCATTACTCAGAATTTATTGATTCCTGATGTAAAGGCTGTGGTTATTCAGGTTGTTTTGAGGTCTTACAAACATGCTTGCAGACACCCACACTGTGACCTGCAGGTCAAACTGTAGGTCTGTAGCAGTACCACTGTATACAACACATGTGAAATATTACCAACTACAACTGTGTTTGTATGGACACAGAGTGATCGTGATCTGCCCCCTAGTGACAAAAGAGATCTACTCCCCAGATGCTTTCATGTGGAGGCTATAGCTTAACTGCTCAACCAGAAAATGTTGCTTCACCATCCATCCATTATCTATACTGCTTATGCCTGAATAGAATTGCAGGTGGGAGAGCTGTCGCTGGAGTAAATCCCAGCTGACACTAGGCAAGAGGTGGGGTCTACCCTGGACAGGTCACCAGTCTATCACAGGGCTGACATGTAGACAAACAACCACACACACACTCACTCCTACGGGCAATTTAGAGTCACCAATCAACCTAAGCTGCATGTCTTTGAACTGTGGGAGGAAGCCGGAGTACCCAGAGAGAACCCACGCAGCCACAGGGAGAACATGCAAACTCCACACAGAAAGGCTGGGGCTTGAACTCAGAACCTTCTTGCTGTGAGGTGTTGCTTCACCATTGGTGACGTAAACTTATGGGGCAACATTTTAAAATAAATAATTAAAAATGCATATATTGTGCACATAAAAGAAAAAGAAATAGGTTACATTTCCTCACAGCATTTATGAGATACTCGATGTGTTCAGTTGAAGATTTGGTATAAAGGTTCATCTTTTGAGGGAGATTGGTTGCTCATTAAGTGTGGCTGAGTTGCCTCTGGCAGAGGTTGCACTGTCTGAGTGCTGTCCAGTTAAAGGACATTTCAAAGTGGTGGTCCTGCTTTTTAATGTATAACCTAGCAACATGGGTCTATGAAAAAGGGCATAGTTTCTGAACAAAACACACAATTGAGTCTGACTAATATTTTTAGGTACAGCATGGACCTACCACGTCTAGCACGCCATAGTGAATCGAAGCAATGAAATTTCAGATTCAGACAGAAATTACAACCTGAGACAAGGTAAAAGAGACCCATAAATAAACTAGCAAGAGCAATTAAGCAATGACATGCGGTACAAAGCTAGGCTACTTATGAAGAAGGTAGATAATTGAGGAGACCAAAAAAGATTTAAAAATTACAGAACTCAAAACAGTCCTTGTGGTCCTGCATCATGTGGTACAGTAATAATGTTTTCTGACTGAAAGTAAGACAGAGCATAGAGTGTCATTTCCTCTGTCCTGACGTCTACTGCAACCCCTCCCTTATATCCCCACTCACCCTAAACCCCCTGTCCCTTCCTCTCCCAGCATATCTGCCCATATACTGTCCTCTTTCAGCTCCAATATGAGTGCATAAATGAGTTCATACATTACAAATTTTGGGTGAAAATATATGTTTTATGACAAAAAAGGCTGTATTTCATAATGCCCTATGTACCACCAGCCAGTTTCCTACCTCCAGCAGTGTATTCATTCTTTGCTGCTAAGAGACCATAAAACAATCTAGTGGCTCGCGGAAAAGGTTACATAAACAATAAGACATGAAAAAGCTATTCTATATGTAGACATGTGAACATCCATTTCACCACCTCCGGTGCTGAAGCTTATATAACACAACAGTCTATTTGATGCCTGCCCACATGTGGATCCACCAGTTAGCCTGCACGGTCCAGCCCAGCTGCTCACACAAAGATATTTGCTGCAAGAAATGCTCCTTGGCCTCTGCCTCACCCTGCTCCTCCTGGAGCGCCTCCCGCAGGTAGCGCATGTCCTCTGCAGCACTCAGCTCTGGGATGCCTGTTGGCAGCATGAGGGAGAACAGGGTGACCAGCAGACGGGAGTGGGTGCGCAAGGAGAGGTAGGCCTGGGTGCAAATGTTCTGATACAAAGGCAAAATAAGGCAGGGAGAAATATGGACAAAAAAAATGTTAGGATATAATGATATCTTACAAAAATCTATACTTACACATATGCACATACACATGCACAATGGATTCACTTGCACATATTCAATCAACCTCCATGTTCAGGTTCAGGTTACTGTATTTGTACACTTAGAGAAATATAAAATACAGCTTCTGTCAAACACAGTTGCGAAACAATG